TTCTTGCCATTTTCATAACTGTTTTAGATGTAGTCAAGTGTTGTAGTAGTTGGTTAATAAATTAGTCTTTTCCAGTAGGGGTGTGCATTTGGATCTACTCAAGCCGAAAATATACCCCAAAAATACTGTATTGATATTTTTAAGGTATATTTTGGCATCCAAAGGTATCTGGGATTTTTTGGGGAAAACTGAGGGGAAAAAACAAACCAAAAATCCTGGATATATTCGGGGTAGATCCAAAAAACAGCAGAGAGGCTGGAGCACATTACTTCCACCTCTCGGCTGTTTGTCAGCCCTTCTACTGAAGTCCCTTTAAAGTCCAATAGACCTTAACCAAAAAATACCAGTAAAAATAATTGCACACCCCTATTTCCCATTCATTCTGCCTTCACTCTTGATACTTGGCCTTACAGAAGGGCACACCCTGACTGAAGAGGGGGATGCCGGGGGGGAGATGCTGTGGGCCCTCCCCAGTCAAGCTCTTGAAACAGAGTGGTGACAGATGGACAAAGCCCTTGCCTGCTCTGGAGATGAAGTGGGCAGAATGGAAGAAGGGTGATATGTGAAGCTTGAGGGCTCCTTGGAAGGGACTCTCCATTCCCAGCAAAATCCCCACTCCCATGATAGAAGCATAGAAACATTCTTAAACCAGAATGATATTGTTTTACATATTAACTGTTACAAAAATGAGTAACATTTTAAGCTTCAGAGTTCATCCCTTGCATTTTATCCTGCAACTCTAGGGTCAGCCCAATCAGTTACAAAATATTAAGATTATAATTAAACAAGTAAGGCTGAGCTGGACTCTATGCTATTGTTGCCACATAGGTGCTTTAAATAACTTCATGAGACAGCTGCTATTGTGCAGAACTATTTACATGCAGCTGCTTACCAGCAGATTGAGCTATTTTCTCGTCACATCACTACAAATAGCCATGAAGAAAGCTTTCCAGTGGCATGGTAAGCCATAGACATCACATGGTTACAACCACCATAAATGAAGCAGTTTAAAGGAGCTCCAACATATAAACCAGCCCTAATTTATGATTAGTTGGCAATGAGCTGGCCTTGGGCATTATGCTTTGTGTTGTTATCATCAGCTTCATCTGCTTCATGGGCATCTTTAGTTAATTCATAGAGCTTCTTTAGGGCAATTCTGCATTTGCAATGGCTAGTCAGAGAGAGAATTTTCCTGTACTGCTGGCCATGTGACTCAGTAACACTCTTTTCACCAAATACTAGTTCTTTCGAAGCACTAGGATATATGTTTTTTGTCCCTCCTTCTCTTTTCATTATTACAGAGATACAATCACTTGCCAACATTTGTACAAGAGTCTCATAATATAAAAACACATGAATAATTGCCGAGTATCACTTGTACTTTCTATGAAGTGTTGACAAGTTATGGTAATGGCATGCTTTTCATGTATATACATTTATTAGTTCACAAAAGGAACAGACATATAATCATTTCACACTTTGTTACATATTAAGGATACTATGTGAACTAAGTTATTTTCCCCCCTTTGTGGAATGTAAGGTCTTATTCCACTGCAAAACAGCTACTCCCATATCCCTGCTGATGTGCTGGGATGCATTTCTGGCTGAAATCTAGAAATCCTTATCTTAAACATTAACAAAAGCTAAACCGCTGAGCATGAAAACTTCTAATTCATTCTATTGTTGCAAATCTTCGAAAAGTAATCCTCTCCTCCACTTCATATTAGTAAAGTTACAGTGCAATGTTAAGCACTATGGCATCCTTCTAAATCTACTGAAGCCAATGGTCTTATAAGGGGGTAATTCTGTTCAGGACTATACCATTAGTCTCCATTCTTGCATGCTGTATCACAGAGTGATACACAAGCTCTAATCAGAACATCTATAAGAAAAGTCTGTTGTATATTTCCCTTTTATCTGCTATAAATGCAGTTTTCTTTTACTTGAAAGAGAACTGGAGGTTAGGTTTATCTGTGATATTGTTTGCCACAGAAAATCTCATTTTGGGAATAATTTGGAGTTTTATGTTCACAGCTTAGTGGAAGGCAATGTCTTTTTCAAATCCCGGTACAGGATTTGCAACATGCTGTGATGGAATTCTGACAAATTACTTTGTACAACATCCCTCTCTGAAGAATCATTGCCTCAGGGATTCATGTTAAACAAGGTCTTTTCAAACTATTCCATGGCGTTTATTAGAGAATTACATTCTTGTCACAGAAATTATGAGGCCCAATTTAATTGTGACATTGGCCACATGTTTTTCATGACCAGATTCCCACTTAAACCAGAACTGTAGTCATTATGCATGGCACCACGACAAATCAGTTCAGTGCTGTCTAGGTGACCCTGGGCTCATCACAATCTCTTAGCCAAACCTAACACACAAGGTGGTTGTTGTATGGATAAAGTGGAGGACAGGAGAATGGGGCTTTGGGCCCCAATCTGAGAGAAAAGAGGGATATCAATAAAAATTAAAGTAATAATGAGCAGGATATATGTTCACATATTTCTTGTCTGAAGTCTAGTACCACACAACCTTAAACCTCAATTAAAACTTATCAGTCAATTATGTATCTATTTAAACCAATGCTCTGAAACTTGTTTTTAACTGTAGCCTACCCCTTTGGGGGGGGGGGAACCTACATCAGACCACAGCAGTTGTTTTGGAAGAGTTCAACACCAACTAGAATGCTTTTAAATGGTAAAAATACATTTTATTGTAGGACATGCGAAATCATCAGGCAGATTAACTATTTTGATTTTTTTCAAAAAAAGGCTTAACATTCCCCACTACATATTATACTACTCTCATCTAGATAAGCTATACATGTGGTTGTGATAATATTTTGCAGGTATATTCACATGCAATCTTGCCTTAGGAACAATTTACACATTGTTTTTTAATGAAAGTTAATTTTCAAATACTGGTTGTGTCAGCAGTTATATATCATTGCATTTCTAATGAATACATTGGTATCAGTAGTGTTTTATTGTTATTGTGATTTGTCTCGGGGACTTTGGGGTATAAAGATTGGAGATGAAAGTGAAAAACTAATAAATGAAGCAATGCATAGGGAGAAACATGTCCTGTTTCTGAAGTCTCTGCTTTTTTTTGACTGTTGGAGCAGATTACCTTTTTCATGTGGCCAAGAACATCTTCTTATGGGATGATGCAGGGGTCAATCGGCCATGCATTAAATACTATACACGGAGCCTCCC